GGATAGTGCAGGCTTATATGAAGCACATAAGTAATGTAAGTTAGTTTCGGTAAACAACAATAAATTCTTATTTTTTAATCTTTTTATACTCCTTTTCTTAATACGTGAAAGAGGAGAAAGTACAAAACTATGAGGAGATACAGAGATAGAGAAGGAAGCAGAAAGGCAGAGTTTGTAATGAAAAGAAGTTTTTTGGGGGGGTGGGGGGAAATAGCCACTTACTGAGGTATTGTTCTCCCAATTTAGGTTTTTCCCCCTACTTAAATAAACAAACAAACAAACAAATAAATATTGCCCCCCCTCCAAAAAAAATGGTCTAGAAGACTGCCTCATTAAGTCGCCATTCCCCCCAAAACATTTAATTTTAATTTAATTAAAAGTTTTAAAATCTGTAGGGGAAAAATGTGTGGCCATTTATAAGGTCTTTCCAGAAATACTTTCTGTTTCTTCAACAGGGGCCTGGAGGAATCTCCATGCTGCTGCAAGTATGAACCAGTGAATTTCTTGTGGCACAGGATCCTCCTGAGATCTGTTTCCACTTCAGATTTCTTAGCAAATATTGATCTGATTTGGACCTAACACCAAATTATGGTTTATGTATGTACATAGGGGCCATAAACTCATGCCCTCATTGTTTTCTTCCAGTGTGACATAAGGAAGAGTTTGGAAGCTTCTAAATCCATTTTTAGTTAACTGTGGTTTCTTTTTATGTACAGACCAGGAGCTAATCTTAATTCTGGTTTAGAGAAGAATTGTAAGCCTGTGAGGGTTCTTTCCTTTCCAAGGACTGGACACACCACAGTGTAGCAAATCTGTACAAAATGCTTTATTGCAGCACGCACCTTCCCCAACAACGAGCAATTGCTTTCCACCCATCTAGGACTTGTTAGTGATGTTGCCGTGTAAATATGTCTTTAATACTCGGTACTTTAATACTTAGTTCAAGCAAAAGTCTATAAAGTATACATAAATATGTAGTCTATAAAGTCTGTAAAGTGGCATATAACCTTTGCCTTTTCCCAAACGTTCTTACACTAGTTGAGATGAGGTGCTGCTTCAGTGTGGTGGTGGTTCTTCTGGTTGCTACTGGGCTCCCGACGAAGCTCCTAGCTCCAGGCAGGACTCCCACCAGGATATGCTCGTCACCATAACTTGTGGTCCTGGCAGTTGAATGATAGTCTTCTTGCCTGCTTGTAATAGCTGCCAGTCTTCAGTCATCTGCATGTCCTTTGCTTATCACCTTTCCTCCTACACACGCCCCTCCCCACTCTGTCTTAGCATTTGCTTTTCTAAGCTAAGAGCCTGGGTGGGGGTGAGGCTGCCTCTGGACGTTGGCGCGTCCTTGAAAATGCCAGGGTGTGGCTCAATTATCACAGGCAGCTAGAACGCCGGTTTGGATGCTTGTGAGTAAAGTTTGAGTTAGGGAAGTGAGGGAAATGGGGGGAGAAGCGGTTTTGCCTGGCTGCAGCTACTTTTCCCAAGCACAGACAGCAATCTTAACTTCACTCCCGCACAAAGCCATTGTTTGCAACTCTTATATTCTTGACTTACAATTCCCCCGCACAATCAAGGATAATAGGACATGCAGTCCCACATTTGAAAATGCACTTGTTCTTAGTCATCCTAAACTATAATAAGGAGTAACCATGATTTGTTTGGATTGAGCCAAAACAAGTAGCCTCAGTTTGTTTAAAACTGAAGCAAAATTTCTCATCTCCTCCTTGTGGCTTAGGCAGTGACAAGGAAAACTGATAAGCCCTGGGTTGGTTCATCTAACACCAAATTGTAGGTGACCATTCCTAACTAGAATGATGCCAAACTGATGAAATGTGTATTGGGACATCACAAGTTCTGCTTTTTAGCATTTGCATTGTGACATGGCATGCAAGTATTTAAGGGGCTGCGCTTGGGCTGCAATGTTTTGTCCCTTGCCCGCTCTCCCCATGGATGTCCATGCACCAAGCCATAGTTTTCTATCATGTCATGCCATCATGTCATGTAGTATGTTTTATTTATTTATTTATTTTTATTTAACTTTTTAGAGAACATGTATAAACACAGAGAAGAGAAAACATATAAAGAAAATAAAACATGATGCACAAATGAGTAAACAAGGGATTTTAAAAACATCCAGAAGTTACAGTTTTCCACTATACCGTTAGTAAATAGTGAATGACTGAATGTAATATATAGCTTTAAATGACTAAAAATAATTATTAAGCTTTAAGTGAGGATAAATATCAAGAAGTGTGGTCAACAAGATATAAATCACCACATAAAATTATAAGCTACAATAGACTGAGTCAGAATCTGTTCTGCTTTAAATATTCCATGAAACTCAAGTATGAACTGTATACATAAAAATATGCAAATTATGGATGGGGTACAAATCTGGGTATTAAGTTCCAGTCCAGGAACGGTTTCCATTTTGAATTAAATTCTGTGCTAGATTTACTTTTAAGGTACAAAGTTATTTTGACATCCAAGCATACTCCCTCAGCTTGATTAACCATTCTTGCAAAGAGGGAATCAAACAAACTTTCTAGTAAGAAGCATATAACATCCTTATACAAAACTAGCTCAGTATATTTAGGGGAGATATATGGTTTGATGAGGTTTGCTAAGCATATCATAGGTTGAAATCGTATCCTATTGTTTTAACATGGCTTTCTTTCCATTTGATGCCAGAGGGATAAGCAAACCTCTCATAAATGCTTTATTCGGTTCCCATACTGTAGATCAGTGTTTCTGAACCTCCGCAAGTTTAAGATATGTGGACTTCAACTCCCAGAATTTCCCAGCCAGCATCTGCTGTAGATAAAGAAACATCAGAAGTGAAGCTGATTTGGAAGAAGCTTTTTAATTCCTGGTTAACACTTCAATTTAATATCATATTATAATAATATTAGCCCACTGAGTCTCCACCTGTTCAATTGGGAAGTTCCTCTATTAGGTCTTAGTCATATACTGTAACACTTAAGGAAGTATGAATTGACAGATCATACCTTGAAATCACCCAGGAGGTACTTAAATAAAATGGGTCTGTATCACCTATAGTTTTGATAATATCTGAATCTACAAGCTATAGTCCCTGCGATGTGTATGCTCAATGAGGGAGGGAGTGATGAGCAAACAGAAAATGACAACAAATAAAAATATAGTTGAGGTACAAACTATTCTTGCAGAGATATTTTAATTGAGCAAATGAAATTGAGAAATCCCTTCTGCATTTTGTGTATCTAAATTTGACATTTGGCTTTCCTTGTGTGTCCTGGATAGAACTGCATGATGCAATCATTTTATATGGCTATGACAGGATGAGCAGAGATTTGTGCTTCTGCTGAATGAGTTACTCCTCCTCATACATAACTGTCTTATTTATTCTTCAGCTTTGTACTTTCCAGGACATATGGTTTAGAGTAGGTAGATGGGTTGTTGTAAAATAACAATACATGCTTCCCCAATAGTGAACGAGCATAATTATTTGCTTATTTGTTCCTTCATGATGCTTCATGTCTGCCAAATAAGTAAAGAATAGGTTCATATTTTTGTTAATAATTATTCATTCCTCTAGCACTTTGGAAGACAAAGGTTCGATGTTCTTTTGCAGCCATGCAGACAGGGTATACCTGTTTTATAGCCTGGAGAACAGAGACTCAGACACTTGCATATTCATTTTATAGTCTGTCCCACAGTTTCAATAAAGCTAATTTAGCTCTACATCTTAGCATGACCAATCATGAATGGTTATCAGTAACCAGTTTCATTTTATCCAATATTTTTCTTGATTCTTTTCAAAAATATGTTCCATTCAAGTTCACAGCATCTTTCTTGACTTGGAAAAGGAATAACAAGAAGGAGTTTTTTTAGAAAAAAAATGTTATGAGTAGTAATAGGATCAAATGTGGATTTCTCTTGAGCCTCAGAATTTCTTTGTTGATTCTGGCATGCTGGAGCCTCATTTGTTTTCTGATTATCATTTCTGAGAAACATTTTCAGTAACTGGGTTGAATAATTGATCTTCATCACTAATTATGCTGCTCTCCACAGGTGTCTGGAAAAGGTCCAGACGAGACTCCACACCACCTCCAGTTTGAAGGCATAGAAAGGCAGTATGCCTCCTTACCCAGGTAAGCTTTATTTTATATTTATACACAGTCACTCTTTTATGCAGACACAAGTGTGTCCGCACAAATGCTTTTCATGGGCAATCAAGGAGTCTCTCCCTCCTCCCACTATTCCACTGTTTAGCAAAATCTGCATTGAACAGACATCTGGCAGTGAAATGAGAGATTATGTTGCAATTTTGTTACGCTGCCCTTCTGTTGATGATTTAGTGCCATCTTTATAGCTGTGTTAATAATTTAGACAGCCAATTTTGGGGGGGGGTGAAGTTTCTTTCGCTGAACATGTCAGCAAGAATCATGATCTGCAAGGGAAGAATGTGATGCTGAGGAAGCTTGTTCTGTGAGAGTTTAGCCACTTTAGCAGGCTATGAGACATCCTTTGTGGAGTAAATTTCAGGGCAAGGGGGCTGCTGGGAATAGCTCCCACTGCTGCAATCACAGCCCCACATCCATGGCTGTGTTCTTGAAGGAAACTTCATTTTTCACAGCCAAGTAATTCATGCTGCAGCCCCATACATAGGTAATTGAGTAGATGTCACTAAGCCTAATGGAGTAGATTGCTATAACTTCTATTTTTTTGTTCCTATAATTTCCAAGAGAGACCACTTGGAGTAGTGGTTAAGGTACCAGGCTAGAAACCAGGAGACTGTGAGTTCTAGTCCTGCCTTAGGCATGAAGCCAGCTGGGTGGACTTGAACCAGTCACTCTCTCTCAGCCCTGGGAAGGGGGCAATGGCAAACCACTTCTGAAAAACCTTGCCAAGAAAACTGCAGGGACTTCTCCAGGTGGTCGCCAAGAGTCAATACTGACTTGAAGGCATCCCCCCCCCCCCAAAACCCAAACTGTTTCAAGACAATCCACGTCTGGTGCCCTCAAGATATTTTGGGACTTCAGCACTTAGAATTCCCAGCCATCAGAATGCCCACACTAAATTGACTGGGAATTATGATAGTCCTGATGTATCTCAAGGAAGATGACAGTTTGCAGGAAGGATGGGAATTATAATGCTAAACATAGAGGGGACACCAAAATGCTTGTGCTTTCAATCTCAACTTTGTGGCTACCTTCCACAAGCCTTGGATATTGATATTTGTGTCTGAGAAACAACAGTAATAGTTTTTCTTAATTCTTCCATTACACTGATAAGCTTGACAATACTAGGCCAGCAAGGAAAGGAGGTTCAGGCAGCATAAAGGAGGACCTTTGTTCACTCAATCATTCTGAATTTAACCCATAGAATTCAAAGCAAATGAACATTAATAAGAGACCACAGTGTCTATCCTATCACTTGTATTCTTAAGCTACATTTTGCACCTTTTTCTAGGTTACATGACCAAGAAGTCCTTTCAGAAACTTAAAGTCAGTCCCAACAATGTATCGGACCAGGGGCAGATGCTCAATTCTGTAGGGTCAGAAATGTCAGACCAAGCATACATGTTACTTTGTTAACCTTTTATTGAAACATTCATTTAATAGTAGAAATTATATAACAATTAATTAAATATAGGGCAATCCTCCTGAGTCCATTATATTCTTTCCTTCTCAAAGCAAGATTGTACTTTCTTTGCCATCCCACCCTCCCTCAGCCCATGTGAACCACACATGTCTGCTTTCACTTTTAAGAGGATGTTCCAACTCTTCTGAAGAGCTGAAACTCTATGAAACTTGTTTCACAGAGACCTTGACAAAAAAACAACAAATATTTGTACTGTAAGCAATGTCCAATTATCAGAAAAGCTGTAGTGCATGCGCACACACACACGCGCGCACAGAGAGAGAGAGAGAGAGAGAGATTTATGTAATTTAGTTCAGATTTGTGGTCATAGTATAAGCAAGTTGTTCCAATTTGGCCTCCTCCCTTACCTTTGCTACCCCCCAGCTTCTCACACTAAACATGACAGGCAAGATTTTTAGCAAATCCTAAAATAGAGAATAATTTTATTTGGGAATCAATGAGATATGATAAAGCAGAAGAGCTCTTAGGAATTATAGTATATTAAATGGCCAAACTTTGGTGAAAGTCAAAGCAGCAGTGTGCAAAAAGTAGCAGTGTTAAAAAGGAAACTAAGAACATAGAAATATAGATTGTTTATCTGCCTAACATTCCAAAGTAAAATCCAGGAATATAAATAGTCAAAAGGAAGAAAGGGTAGCTTTCTGAGTCAGTGCATCATTCTCAATGATGCTGAAGGATCTTAGTATATTCAGACAAAGCCCCCCCTCCGCCAAGAGTCTAGCTGTCTTACAGATTTTATGGTACCTCTTTGTTCATATTTTCCTGCTATATATTTCAAATTTTATCTCCTGTTAAAATTACAGAAGTTTTCTACCTGTATGGCAAGCTAACCTCTTGATTAAATTGTACTAGTTGTGGAAAAACAGTACAATTTGATGGAGAAGAGGCATACCTCTCTTGGTGATGTGAGAATTCCAACTGCCCCACAGGTCCCGTCATGTCTCTAACCTTCTCTTTTTGATGAAAAGATCTGAAAGGTTCATGGTAACACAGAAAAATGTTTCATATCAAACATTTTGACCATCTAGCCCATTGCTGTTTACTCTGTGTGGAAGCAGCTATCTAGGATTTCAGGCAGAACTCTTGCCCATCACCTATCTGTCTATTTTATTAGGGGATGCTACCAAATGAGCCTTACACATTTTGTACACAATTAGGTATACTCCAGTACTGATCTGTGGTTCTGTTTCCCAGCAGCTGGACAATGTTAAAATAATATGCTTAGTGCCAAATGTCACTCAATATTCCTTGTGCTTCTAAGGACTCTTAACTTTTAGACATTGCCTCTCTGATCTCTTTGCTCAAAGGAAAATATAAGTTTATTCAACATGCTAAGAGGGATATGTGTGAACTGCCTTCATTAATGTTGTCCTATTTTGTATATGCTATTGACAAACCTTTGCTAGTTTCAAAGTCTAGTAAACAATAGTCAAGTGTCTTAAGTTGGAATGTCAGTGTTCACATGCAAATGTTAAGGATCCAATACGAGTTTGTGATATTCAAGAAAATGTGGACAGTTATCCAGATATGGTTATCAGTATTCACTTATGCAGTATCTAATTTGGTGATGGTTCCACAGTCTAGATTCTCCAACAAGCAAGGAGAGTTCCAAGGCCTTAATGGTTCAGTCTCATTTAGGGCTGGGCAACCTCTGGCCATAAGGTCACATGTGCCCTTGACCTAATTGCAAGCCACCCTTGGCTTACTGCACAAAGCCCTCCACAAACAAGCAACTTAGACCTCTAGAAGGAGTGATCTTCCCTGGCAGCTGGTGGTGTCTGAGAAAAAAAGAGAGTATTAAAAAGGGGAAGAGAGAAAAAGAGAAAGAAAATTATTCTGACCCATTTTGAATGGCTGATGTTCTGCAGTCATGGCCAGCATTTTTCAGATGTGGTACAAATACAAATCTTAAAAACGGTTTAGACGTGGTTTAGCTTTGTATGTATCATATAGAGATAGAAACACACGTGCACATGCCATTTTGCATTATGCTTTTTTTGGTAGATGTCACCTGTTTCCCACAAAGTTTGTCTAATTGTTTAAATTTATATTAGGTGCTATTAAGAATATCTAATTGGATTTTGGGATCTCTCCTAAGAGACAATGTTTCCCAGGCTTTAATATTCTTTAAATATACACCGGAGCTGTTAAAAAAAACTTCTCTTATTTAAAGAGGATTTGACATTCCATGCAGTTTCTTATATTCACATCTGTGACTGAGGCTGGCTACAGTTCACTAGTTGAGTATCAGGAGAACTATTTTTATTTATTATTTTTAATGTGCAATTTGTTTTCCTAGTTTTTCCTCTGGCCTCAGGCGATGGGATTTTTTTTTTAATGGTTAAAATGCAACTATGCATCAGAAAGGCATGTTCCACTGCTTTATTATTCATTGCAACAACTTACTGGTTTCTAAGTTCTCCAAAAAGAGCACCTTAAAACTCAGTTCCCACCATAGCCCTGTTCCCCATTCTTTCTTTCAATCCTTTTCCTGCCACCATGCTTATTCTTTTCTACTCTCTACTCCACTCTATTCAGTCTCTTCTTCATGTCCGTTATGTTTCTAGGCTTACAGACACAGCTATCTTCCATCCCATCCCTGAATCTTTTTTGTTTCTTTTATATGTGCACCATAATAGAACATAAAAACTGAATATGGTCCCCAGCTGTGCATGTCCTATTTGATTCATGTGACTATTATTTCCCATTCAGTTCTTCACCATCTCAACTCTTGTGTCCCACTTTGATGGTAGCTTTGACTTTACGTAAGCTTGTTCAGTTAACACACTTTATTTCTGAACACTAGTATTCCTGTTATCATAAAGCAGGAAGTTCAATTTTTTTAGCCCTGACATGGTAACAAGTTCATTTCAAAATACATTTTGGAATGGTATATGTTAATAGAGTAATAAATAGAAGGAGGGGTAGGTAAAATTCTAGAGGCACCAAGAACTGGACACACTCCAAGGAATTATCTTCTCTTTGGGAAGGAAAGGTCAACAGTCCCTTTTCCTGATTTCTCCTCCGGTAAAAAGCAGGAAGGCAGACAGTATTTCCATTCAGAACTCCTCCACAGGAGAGGACTAAGACAAAGCAAAGCTCCCTTCCTCCAATTCCAGTCTCTACCAGCAACAGCCTACCAATCTAGGTTTGGTTTTCTGAAAAATCAGTCATACAATCAGTTTGTATTACTTTGGTGCTTATAGAGAATGGGCATGACACTAGGTCATATTTTAGCTCAGTGTTTCTCAACCTTGACAACTTGAGGATGTGTGGACTTCAACTCCCAGAATTGAAGGCTGGCTGGGGAATTCTGGGAGTTGAAGTC